TTTTTTTGTTGGGGGAGGTACTGGGTATCGAACTCGGGACCTTGAGCTTGCAAGGCAGGCACTGGAACCACTGAGCTAAATCCCCAGTTTCAATATTTTAAAAATAACATTTTGGGGAGGGCTTTGTTTTGTTTTTTTGAGACAGGGTCTTGCTATGTAGCCCAGGCTGGCCTCGAACTCACAGTGATCCTCCTGCCTCAGCCTCCCAAGTGCTGTGACTGCAGACATGTGCCCCACACCGAGCTTAAAACGTAAGATATTTAAAGTTGACATGATTATTTCCTGGCTTGTTCAGAACTTGAGAGGTAACAGAGCAAATCCAAACTAGAAGATCAACTTCTCCTTAACTTTGCTTTTAAAGGTCGAGGGAAGACCATCACCCTGACAAAGGCAGCCATGGATTCTTTTCCAGAGTTTTTCACAAGCTGAACGACCACTAAACATGTCAAACGAATGCACCATCCCACGGCTGGGGTCTTTGCTACAAAAGTAATCAGTAAGGAATTTGTTTTTCCTCCAGAAAAATGGCTCTAAAATTTTGAGAAAATTGTTCTTCCCACAGCCTAATTTTTTGTTGTTGTTTTTTGGTAACTGTCAGGAAAATGATCTGGGATAATGGAATCTGTTTTCTTCCCAGAGTCTCTCAAAAATTCCTTTCAAGTGTCAATCTTAATGAAATGAGGCCAAAATGTTACACAGCTTAGAATTTTGATATTTTGGTAGCTACAGTCCGTTGATTATTCTGATCTGTGATGTGGGGAGGGGCTGATATTGATCTCTCTCTCACGCTGCATAATTTCTAGAAAAAACACAGTCTGGGTCTAATTGCCAGCCCCGTACCACACACACGAAAGCTGTGAACGCAAGCTGTGATGGGGAATCACGTGGAAGTGGCTTTGATTGTGTGGGACCTACAATAAGATTAAGATTGTTTTTTCCTTCTTAATTATGCAGAGCTAAGTGTGATGATGAAATTAAAACTAAACATATGGATGTGATCATGAGGCTTTTTCTAACATAGTTGGGTTTTTAAAAAGTATGTTTAACGTGCTAAGAACACTAACTCCTGTAAATATCTTCTAAAGGCAAGATTGGGCAGCACGTGCTCTAGTTTTAGGGGAAGATTGTTCCCTCAACCCAGTGCCACATTTAGCAATGTACCACCTCCAACAGCAAAAGTTTCTACCTCTTTCGGTTTACAAAAAAATCACTCTTAGTGAATTACATTGTAACTTAGTTTTCAGTGGACTGAACTGAATCAAATTCAAAAAGTAACACGTTTTGGTTGAGGATAAAGGGAATATAATCAAAAATTAAGACGTGCAGTCTTTCCATAATCTGTATATCCAATATAACCCGCGTTAGGATCTGGGACTTGTGTCGCAGTTTCCTGTGACAACAGCATCCGAGCCGGGAAAGCCCGGAAAGGCGCGCTGCACTGTCTGGAGGGAGCTAACTCGCCCAGTCACCTGGAGGGTGCTGACACTGCTACTCCTTCCTTGGCAATGAGCCCATGAGGCAGGGGCTCCGAATGACCTGAAGGACAGGGTGGGCCCTCGGGATGGAGAGTTGTGGGTTTCGTGGCCTCACAGGCACCGCCTCAGTCACGTCTGCCGCCGCTTGTCCCCGTCCTCTTGGGGTCCTTGCCCCTTCTTCCACCTTCTTTCTTCCCTTTGCTTCGCTGTCGCCCATCTCGCTTGCTGACTTGCGAATCCCACACCCTACATGTTTCCCGGGGGAGTTTAACCACCCCCCACCCCCGGCCTCTGGGCTCAGGCGTTCTCCGGGACAGGCCCTCAGCCGTGAGGGACAAGGCTGCACCCATGGGACTGCAAAGCCGTGAGCATCTCAGGGCCCCCCAGCTCCCTGAACCTCAGGGAGCTTCATACAAGTCCCAAA